CGAAGGTATGTCTCTTTCAATACCTCTTCCCTGGTGTGAACAATGTTTGGTTGTCTTACACTGCTGGTCACCTACCCTGGGGCCTCCATCCCATACTCAGCCAGGTACCTCACAATAGGCCATCTACATGTCCTTCATCTTTGATGTTCCTTCTGCTGCCTACTTTTGGGAAACCCCCATCACAGCTAAGGCAAATGTAGTCTCAGAGGGGAGGAGGGTAAGCAGTTCTTCAGCTCGCATTCAGAAAGTTCCAGCCACAGGAGCACTCTGCCTTTGTTTTAAGAATATACCATTGAGAAAACTGTTCCTGTATCCAGATTCCAGAAAGCATAACCACAAAGATAGCTACTCCAAATCAACAAACTTCTTTTGTATTTTTCCTTTTTCAGAATTGGTGCAAACACTGAAGGAAAAAAGAATTATATGGCTACTGCTCTGGCAAGGGCAAGTTTTCCAAGCTTCTGATCAGCTCCTACTCACCATCCCTCCAAAAATTATAATAATGATATGATGATGATGATGATGATGATGTTACATCCAAAGAAACTGCTAACATGGCCAGTAATAAGCTCGTAGTTAAATATAAGGCTCTCTAAGGAAAGAAAAGCCAACCTTTTGGTAAAGAATGTGCTAACTTGATGCAGGGTCTGCTGCCAACCAAGAAGAGCAGGTAGCTCATGTCTCCAGAGGGAAAAAGTAGTACCCAGCCTCCAACTCAGACAGTACATGGGAAGGTGAGCTGGAAGAGCAGGAAGCCATCTCTGATAATGGATTTTTCAAACATCCACCTCCCTTTCAAATTTGCCCTTTCAAACAGAAGAGGATTCCCCACCCCACCCCAGGCCCCCAGCCTTGGTACTTTTGGTCCGAAGCTAGCTGATATCCCAACCTAGCAGCAACTGAAGCCAGTATACATAAGAAGGCAGAACGTAGAACCAGACATTCCCAGCTTTCATTTTTCCCCATAACATGAGCCCTTGAGCAAGCAATCTGTATTCCCTGAGCCTCTACATTCTTCTCACTTCAGCGTATAATAATATTTATTTCTCAGTATTGTTGAGAGGCTTATATGAAATAGTTCTAGCTCTCACCTGCCAAGGGCTTACAACATGCCAAGCATTTTAAGAAGTATTTAACTATGTATAAAGTGTTAAATATTCAAAATAAGGGCCTTTAAGGGCCTGCAATTATTTTCTTAATTTACAGGGGAGGAAATAGAGGCCTGGAGATGTTAAGCAACTTGTCCAAGATTATACAGCTGGCAGGACATGAGAGTGTTTTTATGCATACTGAGTACTCTGCAGAGAACACAGGGCATGGAAGGTGCTCAGGAAACAAGGTACTCCTCCCCTTCACCAAATGATACAACCTTCACTTCTACTCTGCAATGTACACTCAATGGTTACAAGCCACTTTTGAGAAGGACAACAATTTGTTTCAAATAAATAAGTGACAAGGTGAGAAGGTCCTCCTCCAGAAAGCTGGCCTTTCTTTCATGGGATAGAGCCAGCTACCTCCGAGCTCACCAATCATTTTGGGAAATGTACTTCACACCCAGTTCTCATAAAAGCAGCATTATCAAGGCTATAGCCATAGGACAATTCTATGTGGCTGTGAGATGGTTCTAAAATACAAATATTCCACTATCTTTTCATCTTCCCTATTTTTTTAAGCTGGAGTTTGCTAGCCTGGAGGCCCTGAGATATTCCACTGATCTCTGACGGGATGCATCAGAAACAAAAAAAATTTTTTTGTAGCTCAACTGTCATAGTCTTTGTTTCTTTTACTTTATCCTAATCACATGTGATGCCTTCTTAAGCACTGTGAGTATTCCAAAATATAAAACATAGCTGCATCCTTCTACAAATGCAATTTTCAGCCCTATTTAATAGAAACCATCTAAACAGCTTCTTCCCTGTTCCTGGGTATTTTGGAAATGGCATATTTTAGAATGAGGCTCAAACCCATTAAATACCATGGACTTTTAACCAAAGAGCTGAATGTTCTATGTAACAACATTCCTGACAGAATTCACACTCTCTGAGGAGAAAAATTAGGACATGCATGAGTCGTGGTCACAGACAGCACCTTCTTATCTTGATCCCTGGCACTCTTGGTGACCCTCTCACTCCCAGATGCCTTTTCCTCTGTCTTCAGACACAAGCTCCTCCACCTGGTGAGTACTCAGCTTCGAGTCACAGCACCTTACACTACCATGTGTCCAGTCATCAGAGGCATCTTCCTGTTACCACTTTGCTTCGACTTCATTCAGTGAGGTCACATGTTATATGGAAAGTAGGTTCTGAAGACAATGTGAAAAGCAAAAACTATGTCCAAACTGCCCTAGTGAAACCCTTAGGAAGACACTGTGGTGGAGGTCCACACAGCATCTCTTGAAATTCTGTCATGGGCTCTATCATGGGTACTCCTGTGCCAAAACAAGTATCAATTACTGAGTTCACAGAGCAAATCTGATTCTGACCATACTCCTGAAAAGCCAGGCTAGAACAGTTGAAGTGGCTTTAGCCATAAGTTGCTTTACTGACCATAAGCATTGAGTTTTACAACTTAATACACAAAAAGCGCAGTTCAACAGAGATGGATTTGATCATCAATTAATGGGTAGCAAGAGTATCAGGACATCCCATCTTAATATTTAATTTTGGCTGAAGCGAGTATTTTCCTACCACATGAAGTTTTCTATGATCTAAAATAAATTTCCAGCATTTACAGTTTGTCTCAAGATAAAATAAATCCATATATTTTCATTTCTTGCTACTTTTTTCCCTAAATTACTTTTTGGAAGATCTCCTTAAAATTAAAATTAATAAGCTAATAGTTCATTGATGGAAAGCACTATGAAGCAGCTCTGAGCAGGATTTAATATTAACCAATTGGCTTTTCATGTTTACTTGTGAGTTAGTTCAAGGCCTAGGCCCCTTGTCTACAGATGGGCAGTAGACTCATAGTAAGTAAACCTCTGTGAGTCACTGGTCCCACTGAGGCCTGTAATGGCAGGTGAAGCCATGAGGCCTCAAAGGACAAGGCAAGGTCACAGCTAAGGACAGCTGGCTCCAACCTCAATTAACTAGATAAAGACTGTAGCTGCATACATCTCACTCCTGGGTGGAGACCTTCCTGGAGATAACATAGTTCTCCTAAATTAACATAATGCCTTGCTTGGAGAAGCCCTTGAGTGGACTTCCAAGGTCCTTGAATGGCTCTGCCATTCAAGGCAGTGTCCCACCTTTATTCATCCTCACCTTGTTATGATAACTAAATAAATACAGGCCACCCAGAGAAGATCTTTGTCTTAGCTCCCAGAGAATCTTGAATTCTGTGAGAGAGTTTTGATCCTCCTGGAGCCCTGAAATCATTCCATTTGTCTCATTTTTTTAAGCCTTTGCTGTTCACTCATTTGGGAGATTACAAGCCTGATCAGTCCACAATAACTAGGAGATAATATTAACATGATAGTTTATGAAATGTCTTTAGAATTGGTTTCTCTAATTATCTCAGGAGGTGTTTCTTCCTTATGTTAAACAATTTTATTATCTACTCCATGGGTTTAAAGTAATATTCTAAGCATGGCAAAACATGCACTACCACTCCTTCCTGAATAAAAGCAAAGCTAATTAATATTTAAGTGATTTATAGGAATATATGTGTGTTGGGAGGGGGATATTACATCACCATCCTCTAATACATTTAAATAGAAGAAAAAGAATCATAGTACTGTATTACTTTCCTTTGATGAATAAAAGATTATCATGAAAAGTAAAAATGTGCAGTCACTGATTCATAATGGGACACTTCTTTTATTTCATTCAAACTTAACTCTCAGTTTCAAAAAGAAAAGGGTCACATTATGGCATTCTATAAAATAACTATCAAAACTGATGATTGCTTTAAAAAATGGTAGTAAATCTTATGGAGGCTAACATAATCTTCAAAAGGAATTATTACCAAAGGAAACCATTCTCTGAAATGTGGTGAAATGATTCAGGGCCAATATCTAGATCCTAAAAGAAGTCTAAAATAAAAACTTGGCAAAGAGGAAACAGAAGACCTCTGTAGAGTTCACCTTTAGCCTTGGGGGATTCACATAGTGTGGGAGGAAGCCCTGATATAATAAAGAGATGGTCTGTTTTCTTGGATCAGGACAGCCTACCCCTTTCCTTCCCCTCTCTCCTGCCATAGAAACATTACCTGTTGCTGAAGCAGACACCACTGTGAAGTATGAGGGGGGAAAATTAAAAGAATTTTTATGTAACAATAAGTTAATTCATAATAATGAATCTCAAAAAGTGAAATACTGGCAGTCTCATAGGGCTCAACTTAATACAATCAATAAACATAAAATACTCTTCCAACACACAATTACATACAGAAATTAGAACTATAAGCTTCACTGTGAGATATGTAAAATTGCAAACAAGACCAAACTATCAGGTAGGCATGGTACCGCACAGTTGCAATCCCAGATACTTGGGAAGTTGAGGTAGGAAGATCACAATTTGAGGCCAGCATGGGCAACATAGCAAGATTTTATCTCAAAACATCAAAACAAAAACTAACTATACCCTCCATGTAATGGCTGTTGTTAAAATTATTTTATAATATACCTTTTGAAAAATATTTGTTGGAAGGGTAGTGACCTCAGGATCTTATACATGCTAGGCAAGCACTATGACACTGAGCTACACCCCAGTCTTTCTTTTACTATAAATTTTATTTTGAGACAGAGACTCACTAAGTTGTCCAGGTTAGTCTTGAACATGGAATCATCTTCCCTCAGTTGCTTGAGTAGCTGGGATTATAGTCATGTGCTACCACGTTTAGTATAACACATTGTTTTAAACCCACAAAATATCATCATAACCCACCAAAACACTGTTTACCATATTTGGTGAGGCAATATGAACATCCAGGTTTGGTATCTGGAGTCAAGAAAAATGAGCTTCTCAGAACAATATATCATGAACGGAATACTGACATACCTGGAGAGCAACAGTTTACCCTGAAGCTGCAGGTCAGCAGCACAATCCTCAGACCGGCAATTCCTTTCAAAGACAGTCTGTGAAAGACACAACAGGAAGGTTGGATTAGGATTTTGCGGCAAATGAGTAAATAAAGGCCAAGCCCCTCCTTGGGAATTGTTCCCTGGACTTTCATTGCTATCCTCCCCACTCCAAGAAGTCAGCTCCCTGCCTGGTGATAGGAACCTTCTTAAGGCTCCAAAAAAGCCCAAGTTCACAGTGCTTGGATCTTAGAAGTCCATCGTTACTTAAATCACTTCTCAGTGTACAGAAGTACTTTCTCAGAAGTTTTTTCCTAAAGCATGTATGACAAGTGTCCCTTCAGGCTCTTATCTAAGAATAGCTTTGAGATACGTCAGAGGAAAATTATCATCCAGTTGCATCAAGAATCAGACTTCAGGCTATTGTGACTCTTCATAATAGCCCACTCTGCATTTTCTAGACCAGGGTTTCCTTTTATTTTTGCTTTTATCCTTTCTTTTCTTTGGCCCGGGTTCATTCTACTGAGCCAGTTTTTCCCTTACCCTTTCACCCCTCACTTTTCAAATAAATTGTTGGCACCGTTTAAAGAAATTAGACTATAGTCTGATCACTTCTCCAACTTCTTCTTTTGAGGAGTCATAAAAATCTATATTTGAGATAGATTCTGCTTGAGAGATGGGACCATATTGAAGTTTTTTTCCCCAAAGGAAATGTGGAAGCCAAGCAGGCCATTACAGTGAGGGCACTACCACAGAAGAGCTTTTTTTTTTTCCAGTTTCTGAGTGAATCAGCCAACACTTTGTAGAAAATAGTGTTTTTCTCTAACCAACACTAGACTTTCACAATCAAAGCCCCACCTAGTGCCCAGCATGCCAAAATCCACATTATTTCCAGAAAGTTTGCCTGAGCTCTGGCCTATCCATAGAGGACAGCCAGGGAATAAGGCAGCAGCACTCTGCCAGGCATTAGAGCTTTCTTCCCTCCATGGTATCTAGGGGGCTTCCTTCAGTCTGGAATCCATCTCTCTGATGTTTCTATCTATGGACTGTAGCCTCCCTATGCTCCAGATGATGGAGATGATTTACTATTGTTAGGTGGCTCTGATTATTTTCGTAGGACTTTAACAGAAGAGTTTCCTTCCCGTTTTTGTTATAATTTATTCATTGTAAAAGTTCTTTGCTGTCACCACCCATGTTTGTAAGCTTCTTCCCACCTACCCACACATACTAAAGTTCCAGGTAGCTTGTTTCCTTCTCATAGAGTAAGTCCAGGAGGCTTCTCAGGGAGTTAGCATGGACTCCAGCAGGTCTGTTGGCCAATGAACAGTCTAGACTCAACCAGACAGGGTAATTTTGCCTATGGAAATTCATATTCCTGTGCCACATTTCCAAAAGAATAAAGTGTCCAGCCAAATTCCCTTCCTTGATTATGGTGGAAAATCGTGGACGTCTTGGGCATAAAGAGGAAATTCCCATGTTCTTTTGGATGCTACTAGGGCAAGAAGAGAACAAAATTTCCACGTGATTTCAATACAAGACTTCTGTGCTTTGCTTTCCATCTCAGCCAAGGAGAAAACAAGAGGAAGAGAGTATAGGGTCTGCACTGATATCTCAGGCAGGAAGAAAGGAAGGCCTTGGGAGCTTTAGGACTAGGGTAAAAGCACCAAAGGTGGCCTCACCACTAAGCTGATACAATGTAAGCTTGACGGTCCCTTGCTGACATGACTTGTACTGAGGCCTTGAACCTAAATTTGTATTCATAATTTTACACTTTTTTCTTCAAGAACTCCTGCCCATCACCAATTATATGAGCTTCAGGCCTCACAAAACCCACATACACCCCTTGGTTACAGTCCCTTCCTTGCATGTGTCTTTCCCACTTCACAGCCAAGAGAGAGCCTGACTTCCAGGCTTTGCAGGAGGCATGGAGGCGGGGGCTGGGGGACAGGAGGAAGAAGAGAAGAACTAAAGAGGCTGTGACATGAATCCATCCTATGATATACAGTGTAAATTCTAGCCCCTTCCATCCTGACCTCTGTCATCCGTCTTCTCTCCTGCCACTGTCCCTTACAACTTCAGCAGTGCATATGAGTAAACATCATGAGGTTTCCTACTTGATGGGGAAATGAAAAAACAGTGGAGCCAAAGAGTACATATGAACTTACTTTTGTGCAGGTAATGATAGTTTCCAAGAATCAATGCCACAATATCCCCCATCACTCTCCTTATGAAGTGACTTTATAAGGAATCTGTGTGGATTTGTGGTGACAGTGGAAATAATGCTAAAGGAAAGGCCACAAAAAACAACAGAACTTCTTCCTCATTCTCTTGGGGCATTTGTTTGGAGGAAAATTGACCACTCTGTGCCAAAGAAACCAGCTTTCTATGGAAAGACTCACACAGACAGCTCTGACAGTCACATCAGCTGTGGGTCAATATGTGAGTTAACGCAGAAGTGCGACTTGGGGGTCCTGTGACCCTACTGAAGCACCCCAGCTGATAGGCATTATGCACAGCAGAGATGAAATTCCTTGACCAAGCCCTGCCAAACTGGAAATTCATAATTTTCCCATTTTATTGCTATTATTGATTTCTAGCTTATTGCACTGTAGTCAGAAAAAATACATGGCATCATTTCAATCTCCTTAACTTTGTTTTGTGACCCAACATATGATCCATCCTGGAGAATGCTCCTTGTTCACTTTTTCCTTTAAAGTGTGCATGTCTTCCTGTTGATTTGAAACTTTTGTATATGTATGTCAAGTCTGCTTGGTCTACAGTATTGGTCAAGTCTGGTATTTATTTACTGATTTTCTGTGTAGATGTTCCATCCATTATTGAAAATGAAGGATCTTCAGGAAGCTCGGTGAGGCTGGGCTCTGCCTCCCCGACCAGTGTGCATGGCGGCGAAACCTCAGGCACCCTCTGGGGCCTCACTGGCTACCTGCCACACGCATAATGCGTTGCCCCGGGCTGGAGTAAACCCTAGACATCTTCAGGAAGCCCAGTAAGTCTGGGCTCTGCCTCCCTGACCAATGTGTAAGGCAGGCAAAACCTCGGGCACCCTGTGGGGCCTAGTAGGCTCCCTGCCACACCCGTGGTGTGTCTCCTGAGGCTGGGCTGAATGTCAGACATGTTTAGGAACCCAGTGAGCTACTCTGGTGCCTCCCCCACCAGAGTGTGAGGCACGTGGATCCCTGGACAATTTCTGGGGCCTTGCTGGTAACTGCCAGAACAACGCACACCCCCCTGGTAGCTCAGTGGAAACCTGAACATAGTGGCCTCCGGGAGTTCACCTTCACCCCTCCCCTTCCAGTGTGGGAAGCAGGCTCTGTCCTGGGCAATATCTGAAGCCTCGGTGAACTCAACTTGCATCCCCCTCCTGCTCTTGTGGAAGCTGGGCCAAATCCCAGACAGTCTCAGGAATGCCGATGAACCTCCCCCACACTGCCCACACACTCCTGGGAGCCACCTGAATGCAAGAAAGGTCGGGAGCATCTGGGACCCCACCTTGCCATCACTCACCAGCACAGGAGCTACACTGAGCACTGGGGATCTTCAGACTCTCACCCTGCCACTCACACACAATCAGGAGTGAGACTGCACTACAGGGAGTCTCTGGTTCTTCAAAAATGACAAAACGAAGGAGCAAAATGCAATCCCAGACCTCCACAACACCCAAAAGAAGCCCAGGAGGCATCAACACAGAAAAGCTTGGAAGTCATATACCTGAAATTTCTGAAATGATAGCAACTGAAGTAAAGAAACAACTCCATCGGGCCATAGAAGACATCAGATCAGAAATAATGTCTCAGGTGAGAAAAGAAATGACAATGATAATGAAAGAAATGTTCAGCATATCCAGAGATGACATAGACAAGAAAACAGAAGAGCATAGACAACTTAATGAAACCTTCAGGGAACAACACAGAAAAGAACTAGAAAGTATGAAACAGATGCAAACAGATATCCAGGAACTTCAAAATTCCACTGAAAGCTTGCAAAACCACCTGAACGAAGGTGAAGATAGACTTTCACACCTTGAAGACAGCATTGCCACTAATGAACATGAAAGGAGGGATCTCTTAAAAACGAGGAACCAGGAAATAACAATTCAACAACTGCAAGACAAAGCAAAGAGAAACAATGTCAGATTAATAGGTATTAATGAAACAGCAG